CATGTACGAATCAATCACCATTTATTCCATATAGCATGTACATGAACCAACTTTACCACATAGCATCATACCATCTTAAACAACCTCTCAATCCACATGACAACATCTCAGAACATCATGACAAAATCGATTTTTATCCTTGTACTGCCTAACAACTCAAAACATCATGATATCGTACATATCCAGTCAACAACTGTTAAATAAATTGATACCTAGAGAGTTATACTCATCCAACTGGTCTCAACTCTATCTCCAAAGAAATCTAAGAGAATAAGATACAACTCTTATGAAGACATCATCAGGCTTCGCCGGAACGGCCCGTTCCAAATCCGGAATGGCCGGTTCTGGACCCTTAACTCACGACTAAAAACCACATCCAGAACGGTCCGTTCTCAAATCAGAACGGCCCGTTTTACAACAAATGGTGTTGATGAAATTGAAGAGTTTAAAAATAGCATGTTACGGGATTTTGAAATGACAGATCCTGGAGTGATAAGGTATTTTTTGGAAATGGAAGTGCATTAGATTGATGATGAAATTTTTCTCTCACAAAAAAAGTATGTAAATGACTTGCTGAAAAAAATTCAAATTGGAGAATTGTAATCCTATTTCAATTTCACTTGCTATTAATGAAAAACTCTCCAAGGTTGATGGTAATGCAATGCTAGAGTGACTTAATATAAAAATTTGGTTAGTTGTCTTCTTTATTTGACTACAACAAGACCATATTTGATGTTCTATAGTAGTTTACTTTTCAAGATTCATGTATTCACCAAGTTTAACACACTTTGGTGTAGGTAAAAGAGTGTTGAGATATTTGAAAGGTATTGCTGATTTTGGCATTTGATACAACAAAAGTGATGGGAAGGTTGAAGGTTTTGTCAACAGTGATTGAGTTGGATCTATTGATGACTCTAAGAGCACAGTAGGGTATTTTTTTTTACTTGGTAGTGGAGTATTTTCATGAAACTCTAAGAAGCAAGATGTGGTTACTTAATCCTTTGTCAAGGCTGAATATGTAACTACAATAGTAGCCTCAATTCAAGTTATATGGGTTAGGAAAGTCTTGGTAGATGTGAGTCATGTGCTAATGGAGCATACTATGCTATGGTGTGATAACAAGTTAGTAATTTCAATTGCTAAAATTTCAATTCAACATGGTTGAACCAAACATATCAATGTCAAATTTCATGCTATAAGGAAAGCTGGGAAGAATGGAGATGTTTATTTGATTTATTATAGGTTCGAGGAGAAATTGGTAGACATACTCATTAAGGCACTTCCAAGTACTAAGTTTAATGAGCTAAGAAGTAAGTTGGGAGTTCTTAAGAAAAGTTTTAAGGAGGAGTATTAAAACAATAAAGCTTTTCCTTTGTTTTTACTATAGTAATTAATTATCGTTGTTTGTATTAGTGGGTAAAAATTCTGTTTTGTAATAATATTCTGCTAAGTATTTAATTTTAGGTAAATAACACACCTAATGATGGTAGGTACATATGTTTTACTGACAACATTTATAAACATTATGTATGACTGTCATTTTTTATGTATATGTTTTATATATGAATGAAAAACATGCATAACAATATAGTTATCCAAGCGAACACAAAATTGTCCCTTTTCCTGAAATTTCCTCTTTTCTGTTTTATGATTTTATATGATTTTTATATTTTATGGTTTTGTTATCCATTGCATGTCTTAACATGCTCACAAGTTGCTCCCATTAGATGTTTTTCACTCGTCATCTTAGGAGGATCACAAGAGTAATGAAAAACTGCACTCATTACATCCCTCTACAACCGAACACATCATTCATCCGTTGTCGCTGCTGCCTCAAAATGCAAGGGGCCTAGAAAACTCACTTCATATAATCAAAAATCACACTTAGATAACAACCTAAAACTATCTTGGATACATCTTCATCCTCATCTCCAATATGATGATATCACACCCTAAGATCAATCTCACTAACCACACGACATTCACCAATTGATCCCTAAGGTCATCTATCCACATATCAACATAAATACATAACAAATCATATTAGAATACCTACTTCAATCATTCAATATATATCATCCCTAAGCATGTACGAATCAATCACCATTTATTCCATATAGCATGTACATGAACCAACTTTACCACATAGCATCATACCATCTTAAACAACCTCTCAATCCACATGACAACATCTCAGAACATCATGACAAAATCGATTTTTATCCTTGTACTGCCTAACAACTCAAAACATCATGATATCGTACATATCCAGTCAACAACTGTTAAATAAATTGATACCTAGAGAGTTATACTCATCCAACTGGTCTCAACTCTATCTCCAAAGAAATCTAAGAGAATAAGATACAACTCTTATGAAGACATGAGATTCAAAAAAGATCATATTCTTAGCTAAAAATTCAAAAATTACAACAAATATAATCAGCGCATACAACTAGACCTCTAATAACCAAAGTAGCTATAACTAGAGTCAATCCACATGACAACATCTCAGAACATCATGACAAAATCGATTTTTATCCTTGTACTGCCTAACAACTCAAAACATCATGATATCGTACATATCCAGTCAACAACTGTTAAATAAATTGATACCTAGAGAGTTATACTCATCCAACTGGTCTCAACTCTATCTCCAAAGAAATCTAAGAGAATAAGATACAACTCTTATGAAGACATGAGATTCAAAAAAGATCATATTCTTAGCTAAAAATTCAAAAATTACAACAAATATAATCAGCGCATACAACTAGACCTCTAATAACCAAAGTAGCTATAACTAG